ATTCCTCATCTCTCCTTCCCTCATCTCCCCATTCCTCATCTCCCCTTCCCTCATCTCCCCATCCCTCATCTCCTCATCCCTCACCTCCCCATCCCTCTCCTCCCCAGCCCTCTCCTCCCCATCCCACACCTCCCCATCCCTCATCTCCTCATCCCTCATCTCCCCATCCCTCATCTCCCCAATCCGCCTCACCCCATTCCGCCCCGCCCCACCCCATTCCGCCCCACCCCTTTCTGCCCCACTCCATTCCGCCCCACCCCTTTCTGCCCCACCCCATTCCGCCCCACCCCAGCCTCCTCCCCAGCCTCCTCCCCACCCTCCTCTCCAGCCTCCTCCCCAGCCTCCTCCCCAGCCTCCTCCCCAGCCTCCTCCCCAGCCTCCTCCCCAGCCTCCTCCCCAGCCTCCTCCCCACCCTCCTCCCCACCCTCCTCCCCACCCTCCTCCCCACCCTCCTCCCCACCCTCCTCTCCAGCCTCCTCCCCAGCCTCCTCCCCAGCCTCCTCCCCACCCTCCTCCCCACCCTCCTCCCCACCCTCCTCCCCACCCTCCTCCCCACCCTCCTCCCCACCCTCCCCCTCACCCTCCTCCCCAGCCTCCTCCCCACCCTCCTCCCCACCCTCCTCCCCACCCTCCTCCCCAGCCTCTCTTCCTCCCCTCCCTTCTGCTTCTCCCCCAAGCGTCCTCCCTACCTCCCTTCCTCCCATCATCACTTCCTCCCTTCCTCCCTTCCTTCATTCCTGCATTCCTCACTTCCTCCCTTCCTCCCTTCCTCATTTGCCAGTTGTCATTCTTTTGCATGCTTGCTTCCCTTATACTTCAGCCACGTCACATCTGACTTCTTGATTTGTGTTTGGACAGGTCTGCTCTGCATCTGGTTGTGCATGTGCTGGCTGTCTGATAGTAACACACGTATAGCCATGCCATATATTGGATTTTTTTTTATAATACAGGATTATGAGCCTCAGAGCAGTCATACACATGACCAATACCAAGGAGTTCCAACAATTAATATATTACCGTATCTGTAAAGTAAGGGGAATCACCAGACTCGAGAAGGGAACAAAGCTAGGGGGTGTATGTGTAATGTTGCTTTCCGGTTTTGTCTGCTACACTGCAAGCAATAAACCAGGCCGTGGTAAAGCCACATCTGGTGCTGAGCACCTGTAACTGCATTGGGGGGTATGGGGGTGAGTGAAGGGGGAAAGACAGTAAACGGAATGAGCAGAGGGGAAGAGAAGAAGCGGGGGGGAACAGAGTGAGCAGAAGTAAAGAGAGTGAGCAAGGGGGAAGAGAGTGAGCAGAGAAGAAGGGGAGGGAGCAAGGGTGAAACAGAGGGAGCAAGGGTGAAACAGAGGGAGCAAGGGTGAAACAGAGGGAGCGAGGGTGAAACAGAGGGAGCAAGGGTGAAACAGAGGGAGCAAGGGTGAAACAGAGGGAGCGAGGGTGAAACAGAGGGAGCAAGGGTGAAGCAGAGGGAGCAAGGGTGAAACAGAGGGAGCAAGGGTGAAACAGAGGGAGCAAGGGTGAAACAGAGGGAGCAAGGGTGAAACAGAGGGAGCAAGGGTGAAACAGAGGGAGCAAGGGTGAAACAGAGGGAGCAAGGGTGAAACAGAGGGAGCAAGGGTGAAACAGAGGGAGCAAGGGTGAAACAGAGGGAGCAAGGGTGAAACAGAGGGAGCAAGGGTGAAACAGAGGGAGCAAGGGTGAAACAGAGGGAGCAAGGGTGAAACAGAGGGAGCAAGGGTGAAACAGAGGGAGCAAGGGTGAAACAGAGGGAGCAAGGGTGAAACAGAGGGAGCAAGGGTGAAACAGAGGGAGCAAGGGTGAAACAGAGGGAGCAAGGGTGAAACAGAGGGAGCAAGGGTGAAACAGAGGGAGCAAGGGTGAAACAGAGGGAGCAAGGGTGAAACAGAGGGAGCAAGGGTGAAACAGAGGGAGCAAGGGTGAAACAGAGGGAGCAAGGGTGAAACAGAGGGAGCAAGGGTGAAACAGAGGGAGCAAGGGTGAAACAGAGGGAGCAAGGGTGAAACAGAGGGAGCAAGGGTGAAACAGAGGGAGCAAGGGTGAAACAGAGGGAGCAAGGGTGAAACAGAGGGAGCAAGGGTGAAACAGAGGGAGCAAGGGTGAAACAGAGGGAGAAAGGGTGAAACAGAGGGAGCAAGGGTGAAACAGAGGGAGCAAGGGTGAAACAGAGGGAGCAGGGGTGAAACAGAGGGAGCAGGGAAGGGGATGGGGGAGCAGGGAAGGGGATGGGGGTGAGCAGGGAAGCGGATGGGGGGATGCTGGGAGGGGGACGGGGGAAGGAGGGAAGGGGACGGGGGGAAGCAGGGAAGGGGAAGGGGGAAAGCAGGGAAGGGGATGGGGGGGAGCAGGGAAGGGGTTGGGGGGAAGCAGGGAAGGGGATAGGGGGAAGCAGGGAAGGGGATGGGGTGAGCAGGGAAGGGGATGGGGGGGAGAAGGGAAGGGGATGGGGGTGAGCAGGGAAGCGGATGGGGGGATGCTGGGAGGGGGACGGGGGAAGGAGGGAAGGGGACGGGGGGAAGCAAGGGGAAAGAGAGTGAGCAGGGGGGGAAGAGAGTGAGAAGAGAGTGAGCAGGGGGGAAGAGATTGAGGAGGGGGGAAGCGAGTGAGCAGGGGGGAAGAGAGTGGGAAGAGAGTGAGCAGGGGGGAAGAGATTGAGGAGGGGGGAAGCGAGTGAGCAGGGGGGAAGAGAGTGAGCAGGGGGGAAGAGAGTGAGCAGGGGGAAAGAGAGTGAGCAGGGGGGAAGAGAGTGAGCAGGGGGAAAGAGATTGAGCAGGAGAGAGTGAAAGGCAATGGGAGGGGAAGTGAAGGTGACGGGTGGGGAAGCGAGTGTGACGGGGGGAAAGCGAGTGCGGCAGGCGTGGAAGGCGACGGGAGGGGGAATCGAAGGCATCGGGGGGGAGAAGTGAAGGCGACGGGAGGGGGAAGTGAGGGCGACGAGAGGGGGAAATGAAGGCGACGGGAGGGGGAAATGAAGGCGACGGGAGGGGAAGTGAAGGCGACGAGAGGGGGAAGTGAAGGCGACGGGAGGGGGAAATGAAGGCGACGGGAGGGGGAAATGAAGGCGACGGGAGGGGGAAATGAAGGCGACGGGAGGGGGAAGTGAAGGCGACGGGAGGGGGAAGTGAAGGCGACGGGAGGGGGAAATGAAGGCAACGGAAGAGGGGGGGGAGTGAAGGCGACGAGGGAGAAGTGAAGGCGACGGGCGGAGCGAAGGCGACGGGCACGCGACGAGCTGCGGAAGCGATGGCGACGACGCGGGCGAAAGAGAGCGGAAGGGTGGGAAAGGAAAGCGAGGGCGAGGGGAGGGTCACGTTTGGGCGAACGGTTGCGATTCGATTTTCGCCACGAGTTTACGCTACGGAGTAGTTGCACAATAACCTGCATTTCGACACAATAATCTTCACCCAGCGCAAACTAGCTTTGCGCGTCATCATTGCAAATCCGCGCCACCCAAATCGTATGGCGCATCTACTCCCTTTTGAGTGAACGCCGACGCCCTGCCCTGTCTACAGGTATGGTCTATGCCTAATACTCTGCGTGCTATCTCAAACTGTGCACAGTTTGATAAGCTCGCGCTTTTCTGGTTGTGGGAAGGGCACCAACCATCATGGGAAGCGAGATACTTTTGTCGCAAATTGGTTTCGCGAGTGAAAATCTCTCGCAACCCAACCGAACCTCTCCGTGCCTGCCTCCCGAACCTAGTTTTTAGCGTTGACTTCCGTTGAGTAATTCAGGTCTTGGGCTTTAAGGTGAGATGTATGGCGAGAAGTGTAGGAGTGTATTTGTTGCGGAGGACCATTAGTTACTAGTCCGTGCGAAGTTTAAATTCCGAATCCATTCAGCGCAAATCGAGAGCTTGAGAAGAATCGAGTGGACGGCTTCGCTAGAGCTGCTGGTTAAAGCGACGGTGCACATTTGCCACCCGAAACCCAAAACCCTGGCGAACTGTTACTGCGGATGAAAAGTGTCTGCACGAAATCCTGGCTTTCGCCAGCCAACATTTTCGCGCTGGCAAGCCTGGTACAAAACAAAAACTTCTGAACTCAACCCTGCCAAATGTGCACCGTCGCTTTAAGGCAAGAAGCACGAATATCAACGCCGCAGAGACGCCGTTATTCCGCGAGCACATGCAGCGAAAGTGCGAGTGATTGAGAGGGCGAGGGCGCTACGGGAGCGCCGGTGTCACCGAAATCGTAGTTCAAGAAAGATGAGGAAATCAATCACGTGTTTTCGTTGTGGCCTTCGGACGCAGCAATGGGCTGGTCGAAAGTGCAAACAGAACGGCTTTTACGTTAAGTTTTCGGCCCTTATTCTGCATCTCCTCTCCCGCTCTTCCGTTGCCCCACCATCTGCCAGCAACAAGCAACAGCGTGTGGTTACCAGCATGGAGAGGAAGCAGCAGGTGCTGGGTTTCGGCCAGAGGAAGCCAGTTGGGGAGCGGCAGGGCAAGCATGGCATTGCGAGCGGCAAGCAGACGGATTGGAAGGCCGCGGAGGAGCCGGGCAGTGAGGTGCAGAACGGTGAGTCGCCGTGGCAGTGAGGTGCGGAAAGGTGAGTCACGCAATACATTCGGGATCACCTGTTATGTCACACGTCCTCCTCCTGTCCCATCTTCTGTTGTTGGTCACTTATCCAAGTTCCATCCCCATCCATTTTTATCACACATGCGTCTCCAAAGCCGTCCACATGGATGCAGCATTCTTACCCGCCTCTCTTTCCTGCACATCTCTGTTCCCACTCACCTTTCTTCCCCACCCACCTCCGTTGCCCCCACCAGACGCCATCATCGCACCACCCCACGAGCACGCTGAGCAGGCAGAGCGCGCCCTACAGCTGTTTGACATGGACATGGCGTTCGGCCCCTTGTGTGTTGCTTCCCATCCCCTTTTTTAACCTCCCCAACTTCCCTACCTTTCCAGACGCTACCATGTCATGATTGGATGAACACACTGAGCGCGCCCTACAGCTGTTTTGACATGGACATGGCGTTCGGCCCCTTGTGTGCTGCTTACCATTCTCCCTTCCTTGTCCTTCCCAACTTCCCTTACTCTCCACCAGATGCTGCTGTCGCACCACTGCAGGAGCAGGCGGAGCGCGCCCTACATCTGTTTGACATGGACATGGCGTTCGGCCCCTGCACTGGCCTCTCCCGCTTGGAGCGCTGGCAGCGGGCCAGCCGGTTAGGGCTCAACCCCCCGCCCCACGTGCGGGCGCTGCTGGAGTCTGCCTCGTGCCGTGAAGACAGCGTCTGGGAGGGCAGGGTGTGAGACGGGAGGGGGGGGGTGGGGGGGGGGGGGGAGGGAGCAGAGCTGCATGGGTGCAAGGCATTAGGTGGTTGCGGTGGGCTCTCCCGTGATGGAGCGCTGGCAGCGGGCCAGCCGGATAGGGCTCAACCCTCCGCCCCACGTGCGGGCGCTGCTGGAGTGTGCCTCGTGCCGTGAAGACAGCGTGTGGGAGGGCAGGGTGTGAGGGTGCGTGGGCATGGCTGGATGAGTGCATGGGTGGTCTTGTTATAGTCACAATAGGCTTGAATGTGCCTAAAACGAAAGATAGAGAGCACAGACGGATTTCTGCACAGCGGCTTCAAACGTTGATAGCGTTCTGCTCACAGCTGCAAATGACCTGATTCAAATTGGATCTGGAGCGTCTTCACGTCGTCTACAATTAGCAATTTAGATTGCACGATTTGATAAAGAATTGACGACACAGAGTCGGTTTGAACGAACGGTACTATGGCAGCCACTATAGTCTTAGAACACAAGATAGGAAGAGTTACGAGTTGGGAATGACTCCCAGCTCCTACAAACCCCAAGAGCCAAGGTACAGTGATGTGGAACAGTGCCACACTGTCCCCAACCACGAAGGGTCTCGAAACTACCCTTCACTAGGGCCTACACCAAGTGAAATGTTACACTACACAAAGTAATGTAAATATCTTCAATATCTTGAGGTGTACCCTTTTTTGGCGAGCTTCGAAATCACTTGAGGCTTGACACCAAGGCTCGGGCTCTTCATCACAAACTCATCCTTGAGTTCTTGATGGGTCTGCTGCACACACCTGCGACACGCCGAACGTTCGACACAGGACAAAATAGAAACCGCGCACGACAAAATAGAAACCGCGCGCGAGACACAAACGACCGCGTAACACGCGTCTAGCGATAACTCGCTATTGACTCGACACACACACTCGACATCATGACTCAACACTCACACACAATTATAAGCATGAAATATATATTATCCCATGCCCTCATACCATTCCATACACACACACATTCACGCACACGGACAACAAGCCGAGTGCAAACCGTAGGGTTGCACCAACAAACTCCCCCTCGGATTGTTGGCCTTAGGATATGTTGCTCTCTCAGTTCAGAGCCATCCCAGCCAGCTTGCAACACTTCCAATGCTGCTGCTCCACCAGCCTCTTGGTCATCATGTCAGCCGGCTGCCCCGTGGTCTTCACGTAGCGCAACTCAACTTCACCCGCGGTTACCATGCTCCTCGTCCAATGCCACTTCACCCTCATGTGCTTCGTGAGTCCATGCAACACAGGGTTCTTAGCAAGAGCAATGGCACCCTGGCTGTCACAGTACAGTGGGGTAGGTCCTTGCTGCTCCTCCCCCAATTCAGCCAACAAACGCCGCTGCCACACAATCTCCCGTACGGCACGGAAGAGTGCCATGTACTCGGACTCCACCGAGCTCAAAGCTTGGTCAACCTGCTTCTTGCTCTCCCAAGCAGTTGGGCCTCCACCAACACAGCATATGAAGCCTCCCACACTTGTCATGTCCTCTGGTTCTGATGCATATGAAGCATCCGAGTAGGCGGTGAGGAACAAACGCCCGGGTTCAACACCATCCGCGCCCTTTTGGCGCCTTTGTGCCGCCGCCGAGTATTGCAGCCCAACGGTCGGTGTTTGGCCAAGATACTTGGCCACCCTCATTCCAGCTGCTACCTGCTCCTCATTAGGGCATTGCACAACCCTAGCCAGCTGCCCGGTAGCAAACGCGACGTCCGGTCGGGTGTTTACCGCCGCATACATGTGGCTGCCCACCAACGAGTGAAATCGGCGCCTCTCCTCTTCACCAACGCTCTCCTCCTCTGGTCCCTTCACACACTTGAACCCAGAGGGAAAGGGTGTAGCCACATGGCCTTCACTCTGCCCAAAGTTGGCAGCCAATGCCTCCAGGTACTTTCGTTGATGCACCCGCATGCACCGCTTCTCCACATCTCGTTCGATGTGGAGCCCAAGGTAGAAGCTCACGTCACCAAGGGCCTTGCACTTGAACTTGTCTTGAAGCTTCAGCATCACCTCCTTCACAAGGTCAGAAGAGGGTGAGAAAATGAGGATGTCATCCACATAAACCACCATGAAACTCCTCTGCTCCCCCTCGCCAAGCATGAACAAGGAGTGATCGGCCGTTGAGGGAGTGAAGCCGATCCCCTCCAACACTTCGCGCAGCTTCATGTACCATTGCCTAGGGGCCTGCTTCAGCCCATAGAGGGCCTTCTTCAGCTTCCACACTCTGCCACTACCATCATCAAACCCCTCTGGCTGCACCATAAAAATTTCCTCCTCAAGGATGCCGTTAAGGAATGCCGTTACGATGTCCATTTGCTTTACTACCCATCCTTTGATGGCGGCTCCCGCGAATAGGGTTCGCAGCGTCGTCGGCTTCACCACAGGGGCAAACAGCTCCTTGAAGTCCACCTTCTCCTTCTGCTGGTACCCCTTGGCTACAAGCCTAGACTTGTAGCGCTCGATCTTGCCGTCGGCATCCGACTTGATTTTGAAGAGCCACTTGGACGTTATCGCCGTACGCCCCTCCGGTAGCTCCACCAATTCAAACGTGTCATTCTCCTCAATGCTCTTCAGCTCACTCTCCATGGCCTTTTTTCCACTCCTCAGCATCACTACTCTCCAAAGCCTCCTTGAGAGTTGCTGGTTCTCCCGGCATCTCCACCGGAGAGAAGAACGCGAAGGCACACTCCTCGTAGTCACTCTCCTCGTCGTCTCCGACCATCATTGCCGCTCCGGCCAGGGCTGTCTTGCCCTGCTTTCCCGGCGCATCATAGGTCAGCCTATTAGGGGGTTGAACTCTCCTCTTCCCCCTTCCTTCCTCCTCAGCTGCAGGGACTTGAAGGCCTTGGCGTTGCTGCGGTGTGGCTCGAATCCGTGGAGCACTCGTAGTACGGGAAGGGAGTGACGGTGCACGCTCGCTCACTTGCTGCACCTCCTCCTCTTCTTCCTCTGCATCATTGGCCTCCTCTCCCCCATTCACAAGGGAGGATTGCCTTGTGGTTGTGCTGCCGCTGCTCAGCTCCAAAGGTAGCTCCACATGCTCCAAACCAGAACTCTTCACCTCCCCAAACCGCACGCCTATCTTCGTCTCATTCTCCGCCTTCCAATCCTTGTACATGAAGTTCTCCATGAACTTGCAGTCCCTGCTCACCAAGAACTTCTTGGTGAATGGGTCCCAAAGAAGCCATCCCTTGCTGTTTTGAGCCATGCCCAAGTGCACGGCCCACACCGCCTTGGCACCAAGCTTGTTGTGCCGAAGATGCTTAGGCACGAGCGCCATGCACATGCACCCGAACACCCGAAGCATATCCACCTTTGGCTTCCTTCCTAGCCACTCCACATAGGGCACCCATTTGTCTGCTCCCACATGAGTCAAGGCTCTGTTCTTGGCCACACACGCGCTCCGCACCGCATCAGGCCAGAAATAGTCGGGTAGCCCGGCTTCAATGAGCAACCCGCGTGCCGCCTCCGTGATTGTGCGGTTCGCTCGCTCGGCGATGCCGTTCATTGCAGGGGAGTATGGCATGGTGAGGGAGTGCCGAATACCATTCTTCTTCAGCCACAACCCAAACTCCTTGCTCAGGAACTCTCCCCCTCGATCGGTGCGGATTGACTTGACTAGACGGTCTTGTTGCCGCTCCACCATCGGGAACCAATCCGTCTTCAACGTTTCAGCCACGTCGCTCTTCTTGGCCAGCACGTACACCCAAGTCATGCGGGTGTAGACGTCGACAATGGTGAGAAAATACTCAGCTCCAGCAGCTCCAAGCTTCAGGGGGCCCACCACGTCCATCACCACCTCATCAAGCGGTGCCTTTGCCGTTGCCTCCGAACTAGGGAACGGAAACCGGGTGAACTTGGCTTGAATGCACGTCGGGCAGCCAAGCACCTCATCGGGCTCCCCCTTCACACGTATGCCAGCAACCATCTCATTCTTCACTAGCTGCTGCAAGATGGGCAGGGCCACATGCCCCATGCGCCGATGCAAGGTGAGCCAATCACACTCCCCCGTAGCCGAAGTTGGATTGGAGAATGCCGCGCTCGCAATAGCGCCCCACATACTCTCTCCGTAGTCCTCCTCCGCTGCTGCCTCTGGGTTCTCCTCACCCTTTTGCTGCTCCTTGGTTGCTGCACCACTCTCCTTAGGTTCACTGAACTTGCTGGTCCCTCCAGGTTTGCTCTTCTTGAGCTCATTCTCCTTAGCGCGACCGTTCGCGCCATCGTCGCTACCGACCGCTCCATCCTTGGTGCTGATGCTTGCTGCCACTTGCCTCTCCTTAGGCATAGTGACCACTGGGATCTGCCACATCTCGTTGTAGACATCCCTGTCCTCATGAAGGTCCCAAAGAATTCGATCGCCAAGCCTTGCGGTGTAGGTCTTGGCTCCCTTCGAGTTCGTGTCCATGCCGGCCTTTGCCAACCGCCGCACGGAAATCAGGTTTGCAGCAAGGCTGGGCACCCAAAGCACGTTCTTGAGGCCCACCATCTTCCCATCAGCACCCTTGAACATGGCCTTGCCCATGCCTTTCACCTCTGCTCGCTGCCCCAAAGCCGATGTGACATGCTTCACCGGTGACGGCTCGAGTTCGGTGAGCAAGTCCGGGCGAGGTGTCATGCTATAGGTAGCGCCACTATCAATCACCCAATAGTCCAGGGGGTGTAGGGTCACCTTCCCCACAGCTGCTGGCTCCTCAAAGCCTTCATCCTTCTCTGGACCAGCCGGTACTTGCGTCGACACGAAGTAGAATAGACCCGGGTATCGATCGTCGCTCGGGTCCTTGTCGTTGTCTCCGCTCTTCATGTTTGCAGCTCCGCCACCGCGACCGCCACGGCCTCCACGGCCTCGTCCTCTCCCTCCTCCTGCTCCTCTACCCTCTTGGCCTTGAGCACGGGTCCAACCATCAGGGAGTTTGTAGCAGTCGCGCCACATGTGTCCGCTCTTGTGGCAATAGTGACACTCGCCGTCGAATCGGCCGCGACCGCGTCCGTAGCTCTTGTCGTCGCTGCCGTAACCGCCACTCCTGCGGCCTCCGCCGAAGTTGCTGCCACCAAACCTTCCTCCCCCTCGTCCTCTGCCTTTTCCTCGACCATATCCACGGCCGATGCTCGCTGCCCCAGCGCCATCCGCACTCG